TGTCTGCCGGGCCACCAAGCCGTCCTGGGCCTCCCGGAGAAAGGGGACCCAAGGGGCCACCTGGACGTCCTGGGCCTCCCGGAAAAATGGGGCCCAAGGGGCCAGCTGGCCCTGTGTCTCCTTCCGGAGAGAAAGTGGCCATGGGGCCAGTCGGGCCTGTGTCTGCAGGGCCTCCTGGCCCACCTGGGCCTCCCGGAGAGAAAGGGGCCATGGGGCCAGTCGGGCCTGTGTCTGTCGGACCTCCTGGTCCACCTGGCCCTCCAGGACAGAAGGGGGCCATGGGGCCAGTTGGGCCTCGGTCTGTCGTGCCTCCTGGGCCTCCCGGAGAACAGGGACCCATGGGGCCAGCTGGACCTTTGTCTGCTGGGCCTTATGGCTCTACTGCAGAGAAGGGCCCTGTGGGGCAAGCTGGTCTCATCGGTCCTGTGAGTCCGCCCGGCCCACCAGGAAGAGCAACTTGGTCTGCCGGACAAGCTGAAGACAGTGCGAAAGCAGGTAAGAGTTCATACCTTCCTGTGTATAAAACGTACAGCCTTAATGGCTAGCCTCATAGTGTAGTATCAGTTCAGTTTATTACGATACCCTTTAGCCCGTAAGGGCTAATCTGCCAGGACTCATTACACATTACACATAAGTATGTAAGCGATCTGCGAGAATTCTAGGAACTGTACAAAAATTTCTGCAGTGTCCATCCCGATCTTACGCATTCTACTATGCTGGTATCATTCGATTTCCCAGGACGCTGTCCCGAAGGCTACAAGAACTACAAGGCTACCTGCTACAAGCTTTTCTTAGGACCTAACCACTTTAACGAAGCGCGCAAAACCTGCTCGGATGATGGTGGCACCCTCGCCATGCCCAGAGACCCTGAGACCAACGCTTTTCTAGCCTCGCTAGTCTCTAGGGCCTTAAGGGGATACGGTTTCGACTTCTACTGGATCGGTCTCCAGTATCACCGTGGAAAAGGAACGTATCTGTGGCAGGATGACACTCCACTCGGGGCGTACACCCCATGGTTTCCGGGAAATCCAAGCTATTCCAGGAAATCCATTAGCAAGTATTGCGTCGCTTCGAGGCATCAGAAGTGGTTTGATAACTTCTGTGGGTTACAGCTTCGCTTCATCTGTCAAGTTGTTCCAAGTAAGTTTTGTAAATATACCCTTATTTTTCAAAGGCCAAGTGGTGCTGTACTGATGGCATCATGGAAATGAAACTATCTAGGGTATTCCTAGTTGTGTTATCATGTTCTTGATTTCATTGTACATATGCCAATATATTCATTATGCACTTTAGAATATTGTCATTATCTCTATAAAGCTTGTCAAGGAAATCTCCCGTTCTATTGATGGTACTGGTGATAATGATGATTGTTGGTAACCTTTAACATTCATACCTTTACAGCCCGGATCCCTGGACGTAACTACAAGTAGATGACAGGCCGAGCTCTCATCACTACTGTCCGAGGGTTCTCCAGTGAGATGTCCCACGGATGTACCATACGACTCACAGTCAGTCCACATGGATACTAGCATACATTTAGTTGAACCTTTGAGTTTGTAGCAATTAAGGGGTCCAGGAATATTAGCAAAAGAGTTTAGACGAGATGGTCACAAGAAATACGAGCAAACATTTTACTTTAGACTTAGAGTTTGTAGGAAAAGGCCCAGAAATACTAGCAAACATTTAACTTGAACATTTAAGTTTGTAGCAAGAGATGTTCCCCAAAATACTAGCAAACATTTTGAATTGAAAATTAGAATTTGTTGGAAGAAGCCAAAAATACAAGCAAATACTTGAAGATAAAAGTTTGTAGCAGTAGATGGTCTCCAGAAATACTAGCAACATTTTAAATTGGAACGTAAAGTTTGTAGCAAGAGATGGTTCCCAGAAATACTAGCAACATTTTACGTTAGACAAAGTTTGTATCAAGAGGCCCAAGAATGCTAGAAAACATTCTAAATTGGAACGTAAAGTTTGTAGCAAGAGATGGTTCCCAGAAATACTAGCAACATTTTACTTCAGACAAAGTCTTATCAAGAGGCCCAAGAATACTAGCAAACATTTTAAATTGAAACGTAAAGTTTGTAGTAAAAGATTGTCCCAAGAAATACTACCAAACATTTTCAATTAAAATTTAAACTTTGTAGCAATAGATGATTTACAAAAATACTAGCAAACTTTTTAAATGGAATAAGTTTCTAACAAGAGATGGTTTCCAAACATTTTGAATTGAAACGTAAAGTTTGTAGAAATAGATGGTCTCCAGAAATACAACCAAAATTTTAAATTGAAAATTAGAGTTTGTAGCAAAAAGCCAACAAATACTAGCCAACATTTTAAATTGAAACCTACAATTTATAGCAATAGATGGTCTCCAGAAATACTACCAAACATTTTACTTGAGACATAGAGTTTGTAGCAAGAGGCCCAAAAGTACTACCAAACATATTGAATTGAAACGTAAAGTTTGTAGTAATAGATGGTCTCAAGAAATACTACCAAACATTTTACTTGAGACATAGAGTTTGTAGCAAGAGGCCCAGAAGTACTACCAAACATATTGAATTGAAACGAGATTGTAGCAATAGATGGTCTACCAGAGATGGTTTCTTGAAACACTAGCAAACATTATAAATTGTAAAGTTTGTAGTAATAGATGGTCTCCAGAAATACAACCAATATTTTAAATTGAAAAATAGAGTTTGTAGCAAATGAACAAATACTATCAACATTCTAAATTGAAACTTACAATTTATAGTAATAGATGGTTTCCAGAAATACTACAAATATTTAAAATTGAAACTTAAACTTTGTAGCAATAAATGGTTTCCAGAAATACTAGCAAACATTTTGAATTGAAACTTAAAATTTGTAGCAATGGATGGTTTCCAGAAATACTTTAGCAATCAGTTTAAATTGACACTTAAAGTTTGTAGCAATAGATGGTCTCCAGAAATACTAGCAAACATGTTAAATTGAAACTTAAAATTTGTAGCTGTAGCTGGTCTCCAAAAATACTGTCAACATTTTGAATTGAAACTTAAAGTTTGTAGCAATAGATTGCCTACAAAAATACAAGCAAACATTTTGAATTGGAACATAAAGTTTGTAGCAAGAGGTGGTCTAGAAATACTGCCAACATTCTAAATTGAAATTTAAAGTTTGTAGCAATAGATGGTCTACAGAAATAGTAGCAAACATTTTGAATTGGAACATAAAGTTTGTAGCAAGAGGTGGCATGGTCCAGAAATTCTGCCAACATTCTAAATTGAAATTTAAAGTTTGTAGCAATATGGTCTTCAGAAATACTAGCATTTTCACTTAACATTTATTTGTAGCAATAGATGGTGCCCAGAAATACTAGCAAACATTTTCAATGGAAACCTTAAGTTTGTAGCAATAGATGGTCTACCCATGTTGTTTTTACACCTCAAATGGTCTACCGAAATACCAGCAATTTGAATTAAACTTAAACTTTGTAGCAACCAATGGTCTCCAGAAATTTCAATCAAACATTTTAAAATTGAAACTGCAAATTCGTTGTAAGAAGCCAAGAAACACTAGCAAATATTTTACGTTGATATAGAAATTGGAGCAAGAAGCCAAAAAAGTACTCAGTGTTAAAAGGTACACACTCTCCAGAAACACAAGCAAACATTTGAAATTTAAACGTAGAGTTTGTAGCATGAGAAGATCCCCAGAAATACTACAAAACATTATAAGTTGAAACGTAAAGTTTGTACCAAGCAAGAATTCTTGGTACCAAGAGATTGCCTCCAGAAATACTAGCAAACATTCGAGGGAGGGGCCAGTCATTCGCCAAGCGCAGAAAAGGCACTCTGTGGACCCGCGATATATTTTTGTACTTATCTTTAAAAAAATCCTGGGCAACTTTTGCTCAGCAAGCCCAGTTGTCTGGTAAGGAGGACAGAAGAATGACATGTTTTTTTTTAATCTGCCCAAAAAGTGTGACCTTTGGCATGGTTTGACTTGTTATGGACGGTCTAGATATTTCTTGACTTGATGGACTGACCCATTCGAACAGGGGGTGAAATCGTGGTCTCATTTCAATATTTTGGCTGTAGCTGTAGCTCATTAAAACGCCGGGGTCGACCTTTTACGCTATTTGTACCTAAAGAAACCAGACAAAATTGATCTTTGCAGTGGAGATTGAGGTTTGACTTGAGGTTTGAAATAAAGGTACGTAAATGTGTTTTAAAGTGTTCGTTTCTAGTCATTTCTGCATAGAAAAGTCAATGGCGTTACGTTCCGGAAGTAACACGATAGCAAACTTGTCAGCGCCCTCTACTGATTATCTATAGATCTGCATGACATACACTTCGCTTAAGTAATGCAGGAACGATTGAATGCTAGAAGCAACCCCAAGCCCCAGCATATAAAAAACATATAACAGTATATCAAATATTCCAAGCAGTAATAGCACTGTGTACAGAAGCGTCACGATACGACAATGCACACCAGAACGTTTAATACAGGGATAGACAGTATTACTCACATGCCTTACATATATATAGTTCAACGGACACTTTTCAAACAAACCGGAAGTTGATTGTTCTCGCAGACGGAAGTTCTTTGAACACACCCAAGGACAAGTCTACAAAAACACACTGACGTGATTACTTGGAAAGAAAGAAAGTTGACGTAGCTCCTGGTTTAATGGGAAATGGAGTTAGTCACTGTACATGCCCGTTTCCAAGTATGGGTAAAGTTACACCGGCACGTACCACTGTGCATACACACACGTACACACATGCGTTCGTGTGTTTATATAGTAGAAGACCCGGCGAAGGTCCCTGTACTTTTGTCGTCGTGCCAATTGAGTATTCTGGCAAGAACTGAAAAGCAAAATTGTTTTCATTTATGGAGCTACTTTGTATACATCCTGCATACTAGTAGTTTTAAACGGCTACCGATTAACATTGTGTATTATGGTCTATTATGTGTGTCTATTAAAGGCTTGATATGCACGTTTCCTTGTCTTTCAAACAAGCATTATTAACTGAAGAAAAGAACGGAAGAACGCATTATAAGATCGGACAAGTAAAAATCCTTCGTAAAGAAATGAGGGACATAGCCCTGGTTAGCACCGAGTCTGTGCGGAGTGTAGTTACTCTCTATCACTATTGTTACCTCCGTTTGTTCAATACAAGGGTCAAAGGTGACGATAGAAAACCGATGTGTAATCTTTGCACAGTCATTGTATTATGACGACAAGAAAACGCGCGGTGTGATAGTCTTCTCTCGATATTTGGCGGCGTCACGGTTTTGATGTCAGGCGGTTGGAACGCATGCGGGACTGGTGAAACGCGTCCCGCCTTGGTTCAGGTCCAACGCCGCTGTATTGACAGTCAACACGGACAGGTGCTAAACACGTTTACTTCAAAATGGCGACCGACGGAGGCGACACGAAAACCGACTCGAACATTCCGACTTGCGGCGTGTGTCTGGAAGAGTTACGGCGCCACAGGCTGCTCCCGTGTGGACATGAGTGTTGTATGAAGTGCTTGGAATACTGGGAGCAGGACGGGAGAAGTCCCCTGCTCTGTCCTACCTGTCGGCAGGTGGTGTACCTACCGCCCGAAGGGATAGCCGGTCTCATGAAGCCCCTCTGGGTCGGAAACTGCCATCGCTTGACGTCACGTACTACAGATGATAAGAACGCTTCCGGGCCCGGGAAGGGAACCACTTGCCGCCAACACGTGAAATGTGGGCTAACGTGGTTCTGCAGTGCCTGTGAGAGAACCGTCTGCAGAGAGTGCGTGACGACGGAACACGCCAAACATCCTGTCAGCCACATAGCCAAGCTGGTGGAGAGGAAGAAGCAAGAGGCGCTAGGACTCGTCGAAAGGGGGAGCGAGAAAGCCGCCGCTCTGCAAGCTCGCCTCCGCTACCTGGCCGCTTGCCGGTACGAACTTGAACGACAGCAGGCGGAAGCCGAGAGGGCGATAGAGGAGGCCGCGCAGACGTTACGCGAGGAGATAGAGAGACAAAAACACTCTTCCTTACACTGGCTGAATTCCTTGTGCGGGGAGGAATTTGAGAAGCTGGCAGGTGCTCAGAAACGCACCGAACAGGATTTTGCTCAACTCGCGAGCGCGCTAAACCTCGTCATTAGTTTTGGCAAGACCGCTAACAGCTCCAGCCAAAACCCCATGTCGCTGTTGTCAGCCGTGAAGGCACTTTCCCAAGCCGTGCAGGGTGTGGATGTCAGACTTTCCCACACTATAATCAACGTGAAATTCGTGCCCTCCAAGACAGGCGCAAACATCGGGAACGTGGCTTTTACCACTGGGGAGAGATTCCGACTGAAACAACACCACAACAACTTACTGCCAGGCTCTCATGACAACAACAATGCAATTCTTCCTGTAGAATCATCAACGGGCTCAGAGCCCATGCTTATGGACCAGTATGATCATGATTACGACACCCCCGCTACACCCAACACGCCACTCGTACCTCCCACACCGCCGGCACACCGGAAAGTTCAAGTTGGCGACGGTTATGGGAGCGAGACGGGACAGTTCAAGAACCCGTTCGCCCTGGCAGTCTCCAGTCACTACCTCTACGTTGCAGACAGGGCGAACGGCGGAAGGGTTCAAATATTTGACTTCTGTGGAAACCTGGTGCGCTCTTTTCTTCTCATGTTAGGGAAGGGGTTGGAAGCCTTAACTGGCGGGATTGTCTTGATGCCGAATGGCACGATAAAGTACCTCGGTGGCGGACATGAGACCATGATATGCGACCGCGCAGGGCGAGCGGTAGGCCGGGCCTGCTACCCTGTTATGACCGCATACAACCCTAACGGCAAGTGCATCAGCCGAACAAAACTCCAGATTCGGCAAGGGCATCTCGTGGATGCGGTCGCCCTTCCTAACGGTAATATCGCAGTGGTGGCTATCACGGGTTTGTGGGAGCGGGCGGACTGCATTCTACTCTCTGAGAGGGGACAGAAACTGTGCGAAGTCCACAGTAGCCAGACTTCAGTGGGAAACTGCGTGTCCCTGTCCGTCAACCCGAACTCGGGTGACATTCTCGTCTGCGATCCAAGACAAGGGGAGCGAGATCGAGTGACACTCTTCAATTCACAAGGCCGACCAAAGTCAACACCGCTGCAGCAGCTGGGCCATACAGGTACAACAACCAACGGTATATCAGTGGATACCTATGGATACATTATCTCATCGACAAAAAACGCGAGGTTGCAACTTTACGATCCGAATGGTGCTTATATTAAGGACGTTGCCTCCGGCAAGGATGGCCTAAAGCGACCGTCCAAAGTGGCCGCGACCAGAGACAGGAGAGTGGCCGTTATAGACGAAGGAGCCGTCTGTGTGTTTATGTTTAGCTACTACTAGTACTAGCCCGTTTGGGGATAAACAATCTTGAAGTAGCTCGTCCAGACAGTTGCGATACAGTTTCCATGTTTACTTTTACCTTACATTTTACATACAACATCGAGTTTTGAGTTCGACAAGCTTGTCGATATGCTGTGCAATACTGGCTTATTCTAAACAAGTTACATTTTTACTTGTATTTATCATACATATGCATGTACATGCCACTACGGTATATATTTTGCATTAAGCTATTCTAGTGCTATTCTATTTAACTTATGTGCAGACTATACTTGATCTGTTAGCTAATATCAATTAAGATATGAACATGTTCTCGCGCTTACCTTGCCATTTGAGGGTGAAATATGAGTGTACATACGTGCCACCTGTCGTGTAACCTTACAGGCAGACAATTAAAATCTATTGTCAGGTGTCCGTGCTTCAGAAACTTCATAAATCAGTAATAGAAACGGATATGATTTTGGCATGCTATTAGCCAATATAGCTTCATTTATAGGAAAGTATTACGGCGTGGTTTCTATAGAATCGCTAACGTGAGGGACCAGACGTGACCCATTTTCTGTCCCTCGCCTGTTTGAGAGGAACACACAAATGTCGCTATGATTTGTTTACCGACACACAACAGCTGGCAGGCGCTGGACACGCTCCGTGCGATGTACCTGGTACCACCCTTTTACTCTCCAAGCAGAGGTTTGGGTTTATTTTTGGCGTATTTTTAGGCATTTTTATCGTTATTAAAAACGTCGTACGGGGCCTGTACGGAGTATTGTAGTATAGAGCCGAGCTAATTGTGAAGAGTGGTACTCTCCAAGCAGAGGTTTGGGTTTTGGCGTGTTTTAGGCTTTTTATAGGGGGGGTCTTTTTTTTGCACTTGAATACTATATATATATATATATATATATATATATATATTGCGTATTTTTGGGTGGGCGTAAAAAATTACAGAGCAAAAAAGAAACCCCGATAAAAAATGCATAAAACACGCCCCAACCCAAACATCTGCTTGGAGAGTACCTCCCTTCATAATTATCTCAGCTTTATACTACAATATCGGGTACAGAGTTTTGTTACCGCCGACATACGGTGTTTTTTTTTTAATTTTGATATAGATCACATATTCCTGTTTATCAAAGTTCACAGATACATATGTCACATGTTTGAGAGTGAAACGCTATCTGTGGATTTATAAACTTGCGTCCTTCTTAATTATAAAAAATGGCTGTTGATTTGCTAATTGTCTAATTCATTACTCAGTCTACTCACTCACTCACTCAAGGCCGCATGCTTCCGAGGGAAGCGTAGCGCCTCGGCATATGGATCTCCAGGTGGTTCTGTCCTGGGATGCCTCCCACGCAGTGTCGAGGTTGAGGGAGACAGTCAGAAGGTCACTCAGTCTACGTATTATCAAAAATCGACAAAAAGATATTTGTCAGAATTTTGCCTGTTATCCTCGAGTCAATGCCAACAACACATGATAGAACGTTGTAATGTTAAATGTACTGGGGTCTAGCTGCGCGCGCCACCTATCGAAAAGCAATATAAGTGCAACTGACAGGTCTGTTAATGTCTGCCCCGCTAATCCCTCAATGCGCAAAATAACTACTACATATAGTTTGAAAGATGCATTGTATTACTCTCACTCGCCCAACCAACCAACCAACCAACCAACCAACCAAACACCCTCTCACTCACTCACTCACTCACTCACTCACTCACTCACTCACTCACTCACTCACTCACTCAAATGATTAAGTGGTCATATTGCTGTATGGTGACACATTGAAAACAGAACAAACCATCATTTTGCAGCTGCTATATTTACTCTATTAGTCCCTCTCCACAACACTTAAATATGTCTTTGTGCTTTAAACATATACTATTGCACACATAATCCATTTTGTCTATTGTCCACCATATCGAAGCTATAATATATTAATTGGTAACATCCTTGTTTTACATTCCACCCAGAAAAATCTGGGAAACACAACCAGGTATGACATGTTTAAATCTTTGGCTACAACAATGAACATCCACAATCCTATACCATGCATTACCAAAAGGCATCCCAATTTAACCTTGTTATTTTTTGAATATATATCCTTTATGGAACCTTTTTCCATACACCTTTGTCTGGATAAAACCCATTAAAACATGTAGTCTCCATAAAATACTTTTTGATTCCAGTCATCACAATTTTGCTTGTATTGTTTGTTCTGTAAGATGTCCCATTGACTATTCATAAAATACTATAGATCTGAATCCATTTGGGATACAAGCCAAGCATCAGTTTTCAACAATGATTTTTCTTCATTGAGAACTAGGAAAACATTTCTTTGTTTTCAGTGCAAATATTTTGCACAGGCTACTCAGGGAAGTTCGAATTTGAGAGATGGATAAATTTCAGATTGAGTCAAATACTGTTACTTCTTAAAACTGCCTAACTGGGCATTTAACTATCCCCTATAACCAATAGAGAATTGGTAGCCCAACAGCTACTTCTGTGTGCTTAAGGTTAGCAGAGTACCTTATGTTGTAAGGCAATGGGAACTACAGCACATATGGTCTGTAGAGGGTAACACTCCAATCTTAAATACATCACTATTTTTTCAGTACCACTGACAAAATGGTCACAAAAAGCCACAGTTACAAAAATACTTGACATTTACCACAAAGGAAGGCTAATATCCTGAGTATTATATCCATATTTAGTGTTTGTTTACTTTGTCCATTGCACAACAGTTACCAAGTAAGTTTGACACCTGGGGCTTGCAGCATTTTACACATCGAGAACCAACAAATTAAGACCTAAAGTAAATTGAAAGTTTTTGAATTTTACAATTACAATACTTTCCCCTCAATTTTTGTCACTTGTCAAATTTCAAATCATGTCAGTAACTTTTTTCCTTCACTTCATTCATAATTTCAATAACATACATGTAATAAATGCTGTACACCATTAACAATAACCAACAACAATCACAAGATCAGAAATCTCCACACCACATTGGTGTTCCACAAAACAATGATTCAAAATATGGATGTAATGTCTCATAGTGGCACATACTGCAAACATATTGGAGAAAAGACAACCATGGTGAGTTTATGAAAAGAAGCGAATGATTTGTGATGGAATATGGGAATATCTTTAAGGGTTCACTACCTCTTATCGTGCAGCTTTCTCTTTTTTTGCAGATAGACAGCACTCAAGTGTGCTCGGTATAGCCAGTTCAGTCATCAGTTTAAAAGTATGTTGTGTTGTATTTAAGACAACTTTGTGCCAAATGATGGTTGGTAAAGGAGTATTCTCTGCCTTCCTTGTTTTAACCTTCTGTAGGAATAAATACTACCACAAATAATGGATTGTCATCAAATTGACTGCTGGAAAAGTATAGATATCTCAACTTTTGTTAAAAAAAGAAAATTCTTTTGAGAGTGGTTAGTTTCAAACAATTAAAAAAAAGTAAAATATGTGGTTTGGCTTGGCTTTTTGTTTGATGTTACATGTAATGATAAAAAATAGATATTTTCTTTAAAATCTCTTGTTGTGAAATGTCTGGAGATAGAATGGAATTTTGACTTCTGGTGAAATAACACAATGGGGTTGAGAGAGATTAGGCCTAGGAAAAAAATGTTGTGTTTCCTGTTTCAGTCCTAAAAAAATTAGGGCCGGCAGGTAGGGATTATCTTTTCTTTCTTGTTGTATTAGACTTAGGCAATCTCTAGTGATCCAACTTATACAAATGCAGTTTGACAAAGCAAAACTTGCCTGAGGACGCTTATATTTTCAATGTCAATGTTGGAAAACCGTTTCATCACTCAGGTGTCAGATCATGGAGACAAGGTTGATACATGTAAGCTCAAAAAATTTCTGTCCCTTGCAGTGGTCAACCCAAAGAAAAGCCTAGGATCAGTAGTTTTTTTCTAGGGTTGGTCGGGAAACAGGAAACACAACATTTTTTCCCTAGGAATTAGAAGTAAGTAAAACGTATTGGAGTGGTCAAAGTTTGGCTGGAATCTTGGAGCATAGTTCACTCTACGTAAGCATCGATCTCTCGTAGCAAGTCGTCAATGTCGCTGTTGGTCTCCACTTTTTCCAGTTCGAAGTCGCAGGTGGTAGCAGGGGACTTCTCCAACACGATGCATTTTTTGGTCTGGCTCTTGTACCCAGGGGCACTGGCTGTTACCTGGTGTTCCCCGGGAACAAGAAGGCGCCAGTAGTCACCCTCGTGAGCTGTGAAGAGAAAAAACATGTGTTATTTTACAAAATTCTGCAACTTATCAGGTTGACTGGGGACTGTGGTTGACACTGGCAATATAAATGTCCCCTGTAACAATACTGTAAATAATGTCACAAACAAAAACATGGTTAAGCCTAAGAAGATTATGTAAATGTTATCCAAATATATCACACAAGAAAAACCAATATACATATGCAAAATCATTTCTAACACTTGCCAATTAGATGTTAACCTTATTATCTAGTTCAGTCACCATGCCACATAATGCAACATAACTGTTTTAAAACTAGCTAGAAATGTGGATATGACTCTTTACCGGATGTGATATCATGGTTGATGTTGTCCACTTTGATTGCAGCATCAGCGATGCCTCTCTTCTCAGCTCCTGCCTCTGTCACTACCCCCTTCACTCCAGTGTGGACCTAGAAGGGAAACAACAGCTTCAGAAGTCTTCCCTACTGAGTCTTACATAACATCAACAAAAACATCATTATACATTTGTTCTTATCTGATTACAGTACTTCACTTAATGTTAAAATTAATGAATGAACCTGAGAACCATGAACATATTTGCATGTCTTGATGTAAATGTGAGAGTTGTACCTGCTCCATGAAGGCCAACATGGCTTCCTTGTTGTCCTCCCAGGCCTTCTTCAGCTTGCTGGCCGGAGGGAACTTGTCACATCCCAGCTCCAGCGTGATCTCAAAACAGTTGGAACTCAGGTAGTTGAAGTCCTGCATGCCTGGAAAGTAAGGTGGCATGGGAAGAAAGTTCAAACTTTTTGTTTTTAACAACTGGAAAGAAGAAGTACATGTATCTTAATGCATTAAAATTCATGACCTTCTGGTCTGGAGGCAAGGTCACAAACCACTAGACCATGCACAAACTAAACATCAAGACAAAGACAAAACTTTACGGTTCAAAGGTGTACGGTATTACAGTGTGCAATGCTTAAACCCAGTTATGTAGCCCCGCAATGATTATAAAAGGAAAGGCAGGAAAGGATCTATTTTTGACAAGCACAATCAACAGTGAACCACAGCTTAATGTCCCGTCCTAAGGACTGCAACAATTTCCAGTAGCGTGCATGTCGGGTGAGAGACATCCACTGGGATTCGAACTCCCAACCTCTTGGTCCAAAGGCAGGGTTGCTGACCATTTGAACCTGCGTGCTGCTGATAGAGTGACCGATGTCTTACCTCCATCCACACTGTACCAGTCAGCACCGTTAGTGATGCCATCGACAAACTTGTCTCCGTTGTCCATATCACAACCCCTGCGCTCAGGGTTGGACATCTCTGGTTGGTTGAGGGAGTAAGACAGGGCCAGACGCCTGGGAACGAATGTGTGGAATTAATGTTGAAGGTTGAAGAGAAGTTGAAAGAAAAATGCTGAAGCTTTCTAGAATGAACCACTTAAGCAGGTAGAAATACATGTTTTCAGTCTCTATAAATTGCAGACAGCAGATGAGTATTTCTAACATTGATTTAAGTAATAACAAGCACAGATATCAACACATGGCATACGGTTCATTGTGAAGCTAATACTATAGGACATAAATAACTCGTAGAATCCCCTACTTGAAGATGGCGTCGTCGGGACACTTGGCGTATTCCTGGCTGCGCCCAGACCGGCTCTCGTCGTACGGGTAGTTGGCCACCAGGTCTCCACCGTGCATGTTTGAGGACAGGGCAAACGGGTACTTCTCAATCCAGGAAATCATAGCCACAGTCTCTGGAGCCATCTGTGGGTAAAACAGTAATGTCTCAGCAAACAGTCTTAATGGAACTTACACTATAACTGCTGAGACAACTTTTAAAAGAAAGGAAAATATAGAAACATCTGATTTCATACTTTTCGTAGCACAGATGAACTTCCATGTAAAGCAAGGAAATTGTTACAGAACAGAAAATGAACATATAGATTGTTGCAATTGGTCATCAAAGACTACCACACAGTTACAAGACCAAGCAACTATACTTCTACGTACATTGTATACCAAAAGAACAGTTAAGCTCACTCACCCTTTTCTTATTGACAGTCTTGAGTAGTTTTTCAGACACGCTATCCTCGAGGTGGTTATTGGGGCCTCCCTGTTTCTCCAGACTGTACACAATCCTGTCATAGTCAGGGAAGTTTCTGTTCAGGTCAATCCCTTGAGCGTTGGCTCGGCCAGTCAGCCAGTCCTTCTTACCTGACTGTAAATCACATAGCACATAATTCTGTCAGTAGGCAATGAAGAACCTAGATACAAATCTATTTACTGCAATACCATTATAAAGGTTTTATCATTTATCTTCCACTTAAATGTTTGATTAAATGCTTTATACTAGAGTGTATCAGTCAACCTTTTCGTATGGCATCCCACACAAATATCAAGTAACAGTAACATTTGAAAATTCAGTGCAAAGCTCCAATTTTGGGTGCATATGCAGAAAGTATTTTGAGCCTTGCATAAAGCTCGGGTTACGTCCTTAGGGTATAAATGTTGTTCTTCCTGTTTCAGTCTTGAAAAAAATTAGGGTTAGCAGGGAGGGTTATCTTTTTATTTTTTATTTTATTTTTAGACTTTGGCGATCTCTAGTGATCCAACTTATACAAGAAAGTTTAACAAAGTAAAACTTGCATGAGGACACTTTCATTTTCAACATCAATGTTTGAAAACCAATTATACAATGTTGTATCACTCATGTGTCAGATCATGGAGCTAGAAAAGACCGGTCATGTAAATTTATGTCTGTTGCAGGGTCCACCAAAAAAAAGGTTAGGGTTGGCAGTTTTCCTAGGGTCGGTTGGGAAACAGGAAACAACATTTTTTTCCTAGGCCTTACATCTATCATGTCTGCTGCGGCTTCATATCCATCCGGGTTCATGGAGGGCAGGATGTGGATGCGTGTGTTGTCGACAAGACTGCGTATCCGCTGGTTCCCTTTCTTGTACTCGTTGGTGAGGTACGGCACCAGGTTCAGCAACAGCTCACGCCCCACAACCTCGTTGCCGTGCATGTTCCCCACATACTTGAACTCTGGTTCGCCTAAGCCACACAGAAAACATGTACAATTATAGCAAGCAGTCACACTGTTTCAAACACATTCTATGGCTTTTTTTTCGTTTTACAATTTTGGGCCTACACAAGTGGCTGTGTTGCTGCAGTACACAGCCCTAGTCACATGATTGATTGCTAAAATCTGCATAACAGAGCCACAAGTACCCTGTCAAAGAATATTCTGCTGTTGAATGACATGATAGGCTTACATACATTACAAAGCATGAAGCCCTGTAAAAGAAAATAGAGCAGCTTTCTTCGCTCTGAATGGCTTCAATGCCTCCAGTAGCCAAGGTATCCAATCTGCTTAACAATACTGTGTCATCAGTCAACTTTTACTCCTGCAAAAAGCAATTTGATTTTGAGTGGTGTTGAATTGCAAAGATAAAAAGTCTCAAACCCAAAATATGAAGAGATTGAAACATGAAGCATTCAGTAGAGAATGCCATGTTTTTCAACCTGCATTGTATACCTGACTCTTGCCCACATTTGTACAGTACACGTGTTTTCTATTTAACACCTGTGTCTTTCAGAGTGAAGTTAAAAACAACATGAAACTCCAAACCATAAAACTTGAGATTTTCCTTTCAGCTTTGTAACTTACTGATAAGAATAGTAGATATCAAGTGTTTTTTCCACCATAGCCTTTTACCTTGGATGGTACTTGACTAAAATATACCCAGGTGCGAAGCCTTGATGAGGCCCTTACGCATTGCTATTTAGAGCATGAGATCAATGCAGCTCTGCAAAAGGACTGTTTCAAGCAAGCCATCTCTAGTTACAGCCAAAAAGAACTACCGGTACTTCAACAGTTCAAGCCCACACAGATAATCTGATACTTATTCTACGTTATATACTGTTTTTTTAAACATTAAAAAGATGTGATCTTGGCTTTCTTACGAAGTTCGTGTTTTCCGGGATTGTCCGAGATTTCCAGGGCCCAGAGGTCCCGGCCGTCGTAGCTTTTTCCAATGGAGTACAGACGTGTAATATCAGGGTGGGCTGTGGAGGCTTTCCTCAGTATTTGCTCCAGTTCTTGGTATCTGGGGAAATATGTTTGTGAGGATCATTACATATTGCTGTGTACCTAAACCCACGTTCAGGTCCAGGTCCGGATTCAAGTCCAGAGGTTTAGGTTCAGGTTAGGGCAGGGCAGAAAGACATTGACATGTTGCAATCATGATCAACTTTTCAATTTCTATTTTTTTAGTTTGGACTGAAAATCTACGGTACCGGTCTGGATGTAGACAAATAAAAAAGGCACGACCACCTGTTTTAACTTGTAGTCTGCTCAAATGTCAAGAAAAGATGGCGTTAAGAAAATGTAACGTTATATTTTGTTGGTCTATGGATAAGACGGTACCAAGGAGCTATTTAACGTGAAATTTTATGACAGACATTGGACTCAATGACCAAACTAGAAGTGTTGAAGAAAAAGGGTTGCATAATAACTACTGATTTGTTGGCGGCAATAAAATGGCAGCCGAGCTTTCACCTTTGGCAAATAAAACCTTACTCACGACTCAGATAAAACACCGAGACAAAATAAACAAATCACAGATCGATTGGGAAAAGCCTGCTTGCAAGATAAGTAAAGACGTCACATTTGTGCAATCTAACCTTTTCATTTTCACTCACAGTTTGCCAGCAATTCATGGAAATATACCATATGGACCATTTTCTGACCACCATCATAAATTTATTTTCGTCAGACAACTATGAAGAATTTATTCCCTAGTGTCACTTTGTAACAGTACGAGTGACAACATAATCTCTGTCTCTTGTTTTACAAAAATAAAGCTTACAGATATTGTAGAGTCGTAAATGACAAATTACTGCAACTGGAAAGCAGAAAAACAAAATCCTGCGTACTCACCTGTGGTGCTGGAACTCTAGACCGTCATCTTCTTCTGGCACTGCTTTTCCTACCGCTAAAGAAACGGCTAAAATCGCCAAAGTAATCGGATATTTCCACATTTTTGCTACACTGCTTTGTCTAAAAGCTAAATCTGGAGGGATTCTGTAGAAACTGTGCGTAATTCTGAGGGAAAATGGAGGAAATATGTGATCTACACTGCGGTCGACAGTCTGTCACTGCACCGGCCAAACACTTCAGTCACGACTAGATTTCAAGATGGCGGAAGCGAGAAAAGAGCTCATTTGCATTGACGTCACGACTGGCCTATTGAAGGGCAATATAAGATAACGTTACTTCTAGTATTTCCTCAAAATACTGCGTACGCGTGAAAATTTTGTTGTTTTTTTCTTGTCCACAAAAAAAAATTTCGTTTACGTGGATATAACGTTACCCCAATTTCAACAAAGTATGGAATTTGCGTAATGCATGGAAATATCATATCGGGCAAATTAATTTTAAAAAAAGGTCCCTACTCGAATATCATATATTCTTTAAGACATAATAATGATAACAAGCTGTTTTTCTTATATTTTTGGGGTCACTGTTCCCAAGCACATTATCCTTGCTGATATTTTCCAGTAGATTATAGTCATTATAAATGCATCTGATTGAGCATGTACTGTCATATGCAGAATTTTTGAAGAGATAAAATCTAGAAGTAACGTTAAACGTTAAGTCAATCTACGATAACATATAGCATGCTTAAGTAACACTCTGTTTTACTGATTTTTTTCCGATCCAATGTCCAGAAACACTATAGCCTGAAGTCGTGCCCGTCCGTAGGCGGAATCATAGCATGGCAACAGGAGAACATGCGTTTATTACCCATGGCATTTGACGTCACCGGACAAAACACTTAACTTTATATAACGCTCGAGCACGGCTGCTGGCAGTAATGTAAAATGGGTTAGCAGCGTGGGCGAAATAATCGTCGAGGACCTTGTGATTAGGGAGAGGCCAACGCCTGTTATGGGGGGATGGATGGAAGAGTACTTATCTATTAGTAAACTTTCCGTGAGGCGTGGCGATCCATTTACAAAATGTAATTACCTTCGCCAAGAAGGTCATGTTTTCAGGAGCATTCTTGTGTGTGTGTGTGCATGTCTTTCTGTCTATCAGCTGTCAACACGTTAACTTGAGGAGGCTTAAATAGATTGTCTTGATATTTGGTAGGTGGGTAGATCTTGGTGAGACCTTGAAAAGATTAGATTTTGGGCCCCCTAGTGGTTTGTTATGGTACTGCAGCTGAACTTTCTCTTTTGATATTTCATGATCTAGACACGTTAGGGTAATGAAATTTGGATGGTAGGTAGCGTTACATGTTACGCTCTTGTGCTGGGGAAGAAGTGTCATGAGTTTGGGCCCCCTATATCTAGCGGCTTGCTCTGGGACTGCAGGGGTATTTGTTTAATGATATTCAAAAGAGGATAACTCAAGAACCAGTTGACGGATCGTTGTAAGTTTTGGTATGTAGGTAGCTTAAGTGATGTTTGATATAATTCTTGTCAATTTGTCTATTGATCACAAGTAAATAACGTTACATGTGTCGCAGTGTGCGCGTGTGATATAAAACAATGATTGCAATACAAAGTTCCTTCTTCATCTGTTTAATTTTCAATCATTCGAACTTTGCCAGAGCTGATCTATCAACTTTGTTCAGTAACATACATTAATCAGTTATAACATTTAATTTAGTACTCTTACTATGACACACAGATGGTTCTCTGGATGCTTGCAACATCAAGAGACTCGTAATACTATGCTTATGGCATATAGTAGTATCATAGATTTTCCAGTGCTTACAAGTCTCCACTTATATTGATGAAATTTGACAATTCCTGATTGACCCCTTATATTAGGAGGTGTGTTGCATCCATTTGAATTCATATCTTTGCCATTTGAATACCGATTCTTACCTGGAAAGGCTAACATAATTGTGTCAGCACTTTCTACACATTTTAAGATATGTTGGTACAAAACTTGGTATCAATTCATGTTCCACGAAGTTGTATTTTTTCTTGCACCATCCTTGCATTCTGTGAGAGGAGTTCATTGTCGTGACTGCAGAGTTGTTGAACCTGGTCCAACACGCCTTTGCTCGCAAACTCTGCATACAAAGGATCTGAGAGGAACAAAATAGTAAGTTGGTAACATACATGTACATGTAATTTAGTACTGACCAGGGCAACTGAATAAAAATTTCTACACAACAATAAGGTAAATATTATTGTTTGATATCATAAAGAGGTCAAAATAATAAATATAAACCTGCTTTTCTGACAAGTGTCCAGTGTCACTGAGGAAAGGTGGTGGATGCTACCTGATGAATTGTCTGACCATTTCCATAATCAAATTATCCAGTTGCTTGAGTAATTGTTTTTCAGTGCATTATGGGTTTTGCACAGTACGTTCTACTGACGTGCTTCCTAAGGCACAGCTCACCTGAGTGGAGGAGAGAACTGACCAGTGCCATGACGTTACACTGAACATGTGGATCACAGTTCTGGTCCCCCAGCAGTCTGTGGATGGCATTCGCTACTTCTGCAGACTCCAGACTTCCTACTGCAGATTCTGGCAGGGAAAAACATGGAAAGTTGAATGTACAATTCAGGTGTTACTGACAAAAGGTAGTGGATGACTCTATAATATACAAGTAATTTTGCTTGTTTTCAAATTGCATGTAAAATGTTTGCCAACATGCAATTTTGCATATAACAAGTTATATGCCATGGGTTTAGATCCAGGCTTTTAATTGTGAATTTGCAGAAGAAAGTATTTCTGTATTGCAGAACAAAATTTGGACATTCTGCTATATTGAAGACCACTGAAAAAAAGTATTGCTACCGCTGAAATAAATAAACAAATAGATACACAAAAACTAGAGAGGTAACATTTGCAAAGCATTGCATAATGTTTACATTTTGCATATTGTCTGCTCTGTTAATTCTTACTCAAACACATTCATATATGTAACTAGTATATGGTGATAGGAGTCTAAATCCCTCCTGCTATAAGATTGCAACATGATGTAACCCAACACCAGTTACCATGGTGACAGACATCTGTTTCAGGTCATTGAACTTATTAGTTTGGAGAAGAAGAAGAGGAAACAAAGCAAACAAAAACAGTATGTTTTCTAAAAATGACTGACACAAACCTGGACTGACAGTTGCAGCTATAGTCAGAGCAATCAGAGCCTCATTCTGCATCACCGGGTATTCTGAAGTTGCCATGGTGACCAGATGGGCCACACCCCCTTGATTGACAACACAAGACACCACCTCCTTGGACCTGGGGAAACACAGATAAAATTAATGTATTTAAGGCTTGTGATTCAATTTCATCCTGGGATAAGTGCACAACATAGCTCACATGTGGTACCTTACATATATTTTAGTCAGTAATGCTATTCCACTTGGAATGCCGAATACAGTTAAAAGAATAATTGACACCAACTTTTCAAATGATCTAGCCTTATCAGAGGAACATATAAACTGTCAGAAAAGGCTAAGCCATTGAGTTGAAAGCTGGCCAGTTACTTACTTCTTTTACATTATACTAGTTCAAGCTCCTGCTTATTTGAGCTCCACAGTTGCAAAAAACAAGATGGAATGCAGGTATCTGTATATTTTGCCAGCATAACTGCCCTTTGGCGTAACAGCAGCTTCACAGGCTTGTTACACCTAACCCTTGAACATTTAACTCTAAACATTGTTTAAAGCTAGCAATGACAGCAAGTTCCACTCTGCGATAGTTTTAGGAAAGAATGAGTTTTTGAACACCTCAACTCTTGGTTGATAACTCTGGTACTTGAAGGCATGACTATTTGTTGTTCCTTTCTGAGCTGATATTAGGTACTAGTATAATGTACTTAGTCGTGCCTGAATCTAACCTGGAATGTTTGACGATGGCTGCCAGCAGCCTGCGAGCCTCCCCCATCACCCCTGCATGCTCCACCACTCGTCCCAGCTCCACCAGTCTCCCCACCACTGCTGCATCCTTACCTACCTGCACAGCTGTCGACTCTGCGAGAGAAGCAATTATAACAAATCTATGTGTAAGAAGAGGAGAGTGGGGGAGGGGCACCCTAACATAGCACAACACCTACCATAGTACAGATTTTTTTACTGATTTTAATATGCATAAGTATGCTGTGTTTTTTGTTGCCAATTAAGGTAAATAATCATAGTCCATGCTTACAGCTGTTATTTGCATGTTAAGTATAGTTGAGGTGTATGTATAATATCTACTGTTTTAGACAGCGAATTTTACCGATGATGATGGTGCTGAAAAGAAAAGCTGACTTTTAACACATGAAACAACCAAAGTATTTTTTGTACCCCGATGTCGTGTACATCAATGGACATTACTAGATTGATGACTAGGTATGTTCATTAGTATATTAGTACATGTATATACATTGTCAAGTTACATTTATTTTGTTATTGTAACTTATGAATAATTGGTTCCCTAACTTGTTTGTAAAAAAAGAGTCACTGTGACAGTAACAATGGAAAACCTTCTTACCTTGTCCATCTACCAGCATCCTCAAAGTGCCGAGTAATTTAAACTGCACAGGAGAAATGTCCACATCCAGGCAGCTCAACAGAGCATCCAGCACACCAGCCTTCAGCAGAACCTCTTTGTTAGCAACTAGAGACAACAACAAGTGTTGTAGTACTCATTATGTGCTATCATTCAAGAGCAAGTGAAAGTAAAATGTAATTCTAATATACGACAAAAAATAGTTATTCAAGCAACTGGATATGATTTTGGAAACGAGCTAGCGTGTTACACAGAAGGGTTATTATACTGGATATACAGGCACCTGGTACAGTTACAGAAAGTAGCATTTTATGCCGAAGGGTTATTATACTGGTTATACAAAAAAGTACACTCAGAATGATACACATACAGAAGCTATAGCTAGCGTGTTATGCCAAAGGGTTCTTATACCCAGGGTATACATGTACAGGTACAGATACAGAAGCTGGCGTGTTATGCCAAAGGGTGTGCAGGCACATATCATTGCTGTCTAAACTCGTGCTATTTTGTCATTTGTACCTGGAATGGCGAGGTTCCTCAGGGCACTCAGTACACCGTGCTGCATGTTCATGGCCGCCACCTTCCCATCATGCTTGTGGAGGAGAGTGAGGAGGGGCTCCACTATCCCCATGGCAACCAGCTGTACACAATTTTCTTCTGCAGAGGAAGAGCAACCATTTTCATCAGCATGTGCTTTACACAATAACTACTATTTACAGTCACCTTCAATAGTGTCACCGTCACCTGTACATAACAACAGTAAGAGGACAATATTTTTTTTTTAATCTTTCTTTATTTGAGTTTTGTTTTAGATAAATGAGTTGTAACAGAATGTGATAGGAATCGAATAAAGATATCTTATGAGAACTGAAAGACTTTGGTGATCTCTAGTAATCCAACATACACAAAACAGTTTAACAAAGTAAAACTAGCATGAGGACATTCCATTTTTAATGTCAATGTTCCAAAACCAATGTACAACATTTCATCACTCAGGTGTCAGATCATGGAGCTAGGAAAGGTCTATCAGCTTGAAAAATATGTCCCTTGAAGGGGACTCAAAAAAGGCTATGGTCGGCTGAGTTTTTCGTAGGGTCGGTCGAGAAACAGGAAACACAGCATTTTCTCACTATTCCCTACCATTTCTGGCAAAGTTGCCCACAGCCAGCACACCTGCCACCTGTAGATGATCCCTGTCTGATGGCAGCCACAGTGACATGACTTCCTTCAGCACCTGTCCTTCTCCAGAGTCATACAGCAGCTTCATGCTCTCATCTTAAGGAATAAGAAAGTGAATCTTATAAATTAAAGAACTTGTAAATATTGATGTCAAACAAAGTGGAAGATAAAACACATTTTATTTCATATTGCCCCTTCTATGACCACAAAAGAAAGGACCTATTTGAAGAGGCGAACAAATTCCATCCTAAGTTCTCCATGTTTTCTTATAAAATATAACTATTAACAAGGACATTATACAGTGTATAATGTCCTTGCTATTAAGTAATAATTACTGAAGGCAAATTTCTGATCAGGAAGGTAATTCTCAATATACCGTAATATTTATCAAAATACATCTCTTACCTCCAGTCAGCAACTGGACAATAAGGTCAGCTGCAGCTTTGGATAAGCTAGAGTCATCACCCTCATTTGCATCCTCAGATTCAGCACTTAGCCTCAGAAGGGTAGCAGTCACACCGGCTTGAACAATTTGCAGCTTGATTCCATCTGTACCATTGGAAAAAAACAGGATATGAAATGTATATGATATTTACCTTAGCACAGAAGGTTGCCATTTGTGGACATGTGTGTTAAATGTATTTGTGTGTTCTTGTGGATATCATACAAATGTATGTTGAGAAGTTGTGGATGGATCTTTATAATACATACAATCATGTACATGTATTTGGTATGTGAATATGTCACCATTGGCAAAAGAAAGGAAAAGTTCATTTTAAGGGCCTCCTAGTAGTATAACACTGCAGAGATCTTGTGTTCTGGACATTATCTGTGCTCCATGATAGGATTTTTAGTACCAAGGACAGCCACCATCTTGGCAAAACCTACCCCCAAAAAAGCTCTAGGGTCGGTCTGGAAACAGGAACACAACATGTTTTTTCCCTAGGCCTTACCATGTTCAGCCAATGTTGCTAACAGCTCCAGTATAGTTTCCATCAGGTCTGACCCAACCTCAGTGTCCATCATCGTCACCAGATCACCGGCAAAGTTGGGCTCATAAAGGGTTTCTTTTCCCGCATCTGATTAAGGGGAAAACTGATGTTTACTGTAGCTGTATAACACGTTAATCCAATCATGACTGTATCTGACATCAGAATGAACATGGCAACCACTACATGGAAAAGCTATAATATATTGTAAAATTTAGAGCAAATTATTCAGAGCTAATTAAAAACTGTTTGACAATATTACAGGAATGATCTAGTGTTAATATTTGATAAACATCACAACTGCAATGTTAAGACACAAACCTGACAAGAAATTGCAAACATAACACATTCTTTTAAATGATGTTGAGATGTGCTCTGTTTTTTAAGAATAAAGTTATCTTCATCTATCAACAAAGACATTTTCTTAAGATGGGTACTAGTAGATTATCAGTTGCATTGTATCAACAGATAGGTAAAACAGTAATCCTACATTTCACATTTGTCAAGCATTCTCTTTGAGCAAAACAGAGAATAAGAAGAAGGTTGTTCACACTAGCCTGACTCAGCAAGGCTGCCCACACACAGTAGAACCATCTGACACACAGAAAGGTCCTCAAAGTTTTGTTGAAGAATCTCCTCTAGCACCTTGACTGCACCAAGGGATAATGCCATTGACTGTAAGCTCTCTGAAAAATAGTAGAAATTAGTAAGTAGAATTGAACTCTCATCAATTTACCCTCAGATAGGTGATTGCAGACATGTTTTTCTGTCAATGTTAGGAGCAAAATACCAGAATGTAAACAAACATGGCTAACAGCTATGTTTCCAGCTTTTAAACCTACTCATATAATTTCCATTCCCTGGATGACACTTCTTTGTATGGGTGTAGGGTTGACTCAACTTATTTTGTTAAGAAATGTCCTGAAATTTGACAATTTGTATGATCCCAATGTTACACAATACAGCTGTAAAGCAGATAGTAAGTGAGGCTACATTTACCATGTGTATTGGTGAGGTTTAATAAGAAGCCACAGCCCACGGTGCACATGCCGCTATGGTCAGGCTGGGACTGGGAAGACGTAAGACTCTGCAGTATGGCAAACAGCTTCTCCAAACCACCCAGGGACTTTACCGCATCCCTTGCTGGATCTAGAAACATTTTAATTTCAAAATTTAAAATAATCTAAATTAATTATACTGTAGAAAATAAACATTAGCTCATCACTGGTCTCAAAATGAAATTAGCCCGAAAGGCATCTTAAAAGCCCAAATCATAAAACAAAGAAAAACATGTGACAGAATGCATGTGTGTGTGCTATATAATTGGAGATTAGACAAATTGCTCTTAGCTTGAAGGATAATCCTAATTATACCTCATATTACCTCATACCTCATAAATGCCCTTATCTGGGCATTTGATATGCAGTATTTTCTATGCAAATTGCTAGGTGGCGCACATATACAAAGCTTATATGCAAAGCATAGTATGAGGTATAAGTATATGCTGCTGCTACAGTGTGTTGGTCTTGCATTACCTACCATTATCAAAGCAGATGTTGCCTAGTGCCCTGCAACTCTGTTTCACTGCTGCACTCTCATCACATGACAGCAGTTCCACCAATGGTTGGACAAGACCAGCTTCAACACAAGGCAGTCTTAAAAATTCTGAAATGGGTGAGAACATTGTACCCACTTAGTAACACTTAGCTAGCTTAGCTAGATATTCACCACCATCTTTTGCATACTAGTAAGTCGTATCACTTAGCTCAGTGCCTAGAACTTTGCAAACTCAACTTAATGCATTGAGCAACACAGTAAAAGATATATGATAATATTATATAACATTAGGTAGGTTAGGCATGTAATACTCACCATTTTTGGCTAATTCAGCGACCAGTTTGGCCACATTGGCAGCATCTTTGCAGTCAGGACCTAGCAGTGGACACAACTTGGGCAGAACTTCATGGGAAAGGATCACTTGACCGGCTTCACTTCCTGAACAACACAAGAAGGAAGGTAGTTGTTGTACATGTACGAAAGACAGTGCTCTAGTCTAGAGTAATTGTTGTTCAAATGGTTTTCATCTCCATGTAGAGTCAGGTATTTGTGTCTGACACAGGGTTTCGAAAAAAAGGTCCCATTCTACTCTATCCAATCTATAAAATCACTTTCTAGTAGTGCTGACGGCCATGCCCACAAATGAGCAATATCCTGCACTGTCTATATATTGATTGGAAGGAAGAGAATCTTTTTTCTGCCAGAAGTCATTTATATTCCATATTCTTTTATCTCTCCTCAATATTGGACATTGTAACAGTAACGTTATTACTACAACTGTCATTTTTCCAAAAAAGTTAGCTGTGCAACTGTACAAATTGGAACATTTAAAAGAATTATTCTGAGATAAGTGTTGATGTCTGTTGTACAATCGTATACATTTTGGCCCCATTAGTCAGTATGAAAATTTGTGCTCCAAATTATCATTTTCAGCAATGACTTAAACAATAGGTATAATATTGAAACTGCTTCCTACCATTTTCAGCCAGAGCCTTAAGCATACAACTGACACAGACAGACATGTCCACGGACTCTGCTTGACCCTGGAGTCCATTGTCGTTGGATAGCTTCAACTGCCTCACAGCATTTTCCAACTCATCTGTAACAAAGAAAAACATTAAATTTTATAGATTTACATGACATTTGTTGCCAACACTCACCAGTGTCTGTATAGCATGAAAGCTCATCTTGCTGGCATATAACATTATGAGAAAGAGTTGAACTCACTTAATTTTCAAGTTGCCCAGTCCCTAACAGTAGTATTGGAAAAGTGCATCCAATTTTGTGCTGAATCCCCAGGACACACTGTTTCATTGGACAATGTCAAGATATTGCAGGGAGCAAGGTCATTTCATGAGGGGCCAGGGTGTTTTCTGACCAATGTCAATGTTGGAAAATGTGGAATATAACTTATAAGGGCACAAACATTTAATACTAGGACTATTAAAGTGGATATCACAGACTACTGTAATGTTACAAATATAAATTTGACAGTAATACAAATTCACATGCAGGAATAATATCTTTTCAATAGGTTACTTTTAGCTACTAGTAGTAGTACAGAATTATAAATATGGTCAAGACTATCACAAGTTTCTGTGAAAAAAAATGTTTTCTTACATACACTGATACAGGATAATTCTATAGTATGTGCAAAATATAAAAGGAGATTTGACTTACCCATTTTTTCTGACTGCACAACTACAGTACAAGGCTTCTAAGGCTCTAAATGGTACAGTACTGTGGTCATAGACAAGCCACCCCACAGTACTAGTTCACATGCACCACCGATCACCCTTAGCTTGGACCACTTTCAGACGAGGCCTCACATCAATCAACCAGGCAATACCCAATCCAGATCAGTAAACGTCACCTAGGCAGACCTACGTTTGTTCCCTGTTCATGGTTCCTCCCATTCTGAGGCCTAGGAAAAATGGTGTGTTTCCTGTTTCATAACCCTATACCCCTTGGGAAGACCACCTTAGAGGTGGAAAGACCAGATTCAGAGTGACACAGGGCTTACCGTAAGGGAAGCAGACTCCGACTATTGCCCTTGATAGAGTTGGCTGGAGGAACCTGATGGAGGGGAGCAAGGGGCCAGTACCTGGCCTGTGCATATAGGCAGGTAGGCTTGTAAGAGTAGCTGTTTCATGTCACCGTGTCACTACTTCAAGTAGATCGTATACTGGTAATACATGTATATACATAATACAATGTGCCATCCCTGATTGTTCACAAGCCACAATATTACTTATTAGTTCACTTTTCAATTTCAGCCTACAAAAACTCCAGCAATCCCCTAAATTATATTGCTTAGGCCCGAAAAGGGACAATTGAACGAAAGCAAAACAGTAATTGCCCAGTTACAGCTGGATCAATTCCTGAGCCTGCCATTACTAGTATTCATGACACCACACAGGACATTTGGAGTAGAAAATATCTATTAGGCCTATGAAAAAAATGTTGTGTTTCCTATTTCAGTCCTGAGAAAATTTTGGACGGTACTTTAATGTGGATTATATATCTTTTTTCTTTCTTTCTTTTCTTTTCTTTGGGGATCTCTAGGAATCCACTTATACAATAAACTGTGTAATAAAGTAAAACTTACATTAGGACACTTATAATGTCAATGTCAATGTTGGAAAAACGATTGTATAACATTTCATCACTCGGGTGTCAGATCATGGAGCTAGAAATAGTCGATCAGCTCGAAACGTTTATGTCCTTTGCAGGGGTCCACCAAAAAATGGCTGAGGGTATGCAGTTTTTTCTATGGTCGGTCGGGAAACAGGAAACATATTTTTTTCCCTAGGCCTTTTATATACATTACTGGGAGAGTCAAATTGGATGTCAGTTGTGGCTGACTGGATTCAGTCAAGTGTTTCGTCATTTCAGTAGCATTACACATTCAGACAGTTACAGTAAATGTTAGAGTTTGTGTCTACTTCCATACCTCAATGTACAACAGTGTAGCTCTCGAACTAGTCTCCTGATACGAGCAATTATGAAATCAGACTTCTGTGGTCCAACACTGAAGGTAAAATCACTTCTGACTGACAAGCTCCTAAATTTACGTTTGAAGTGCACTCAGCAGACACCACTGAATTACAAAATAAGTCAAAATCCAATTCATTGCAATAAACTACCCAAGAAACCATTTCGGGGGCATTGCAAATCTAACCGCATGATATATACAGCAGAACCGATCAATGTTACACTACATGAAGGGACACCAGTCGTGTGAGGAGGTTTATATGGGCGTGATAGGCGGCTTGTTATAACGCTTCGGTGTTCTTGTGACTTTTGACAGTAACAAGTCAAGAAGAGGGAGGCAGATAAATATAAATGATGCGGTTTTTCTTAAATTTACAGTGATCACTATCATGGAGGTATAGGTACAAAAGAGAGATGCTACAAATTGTACGTGGCCCAGATTTTGACATGTGCATGTGCGCCTAGATTGTTGCAGTCACGAAACAGCCTTTCGTTTTAAGCTTTTCCTCAAGAAACACACCTGAGATCAAATACCGTAGGTAAAGCGTCCTGGGTAAAGGTAAAGCGAGCCTCAACTTACCCATGTCACATGTGTTTCCGCTCCGGTCTGCTTTCTGTTTCCGGGTCGGAGTTCAAATCTGACGAAGGAAAAATAGATTGCAGTAAATCGCCGGATCTGCATTGTTGTCACGCCGAGTTTGTCTCCCCATCGCACCGCGATCGTTTAGATTTTTCATATAGTTTTTGAATTGACCAAAAAATCCTTTGCATTGTGGTGTTTTTCGGCGTGGTGAAGTTGGTCGGCCAGTGAAGCGTTTTTTTGGTATTAGTTCGCGAGCAAGGGTGATGCGGTTTGTCGCCTGATGACCCAAATAGCTGCGAAATGTAGAATTTCAAGGCATTTGCGTCATCGGAGATCGCGAAAAAGTTATCACAACCTATTTTGTTTTCAGAAACACGAAATAGTAAGCTATGCCTGTATATTTACCTATGTTATCTTTTGATTTGATTTGTTACTGCAACGTTACTGGTTTGTATTATTTTCGGAAGTTTCTGTAACAGTACAATCTCATGCAGGGCCTGGAGTTTCCTTTTGTTGATGCCTTAATAAATTAAAGACCATTCGGGCTGGGTTAGCCTCCTTTTCAGAGAAAGAAAAGAAAATAGGAAATTTTTTTGCGTTTTCGAGTCATTCTCGTTCAGATCTTTCAAGAGTTAGGTGAATTAGCAGTTTTCTTGACTGAGCGTTGATTTCAAGTTTTTACTTTGCACCATGCAAACCAAGACAAAACATTATATGCAAAGGGATCTCTACTCCATATATATGGACAAAATGTAACAAACAAATATACAAACAGTTGGATACCACTAATTGCGAGAGTTCGCTAATTATGAAGTTCTCTTAGGCCACACCGACTTGATTATATGGATGACATCCTCTGAAGAACCCCAAACTAGTGCGCGCGGGTGAATAAAAATGTCTTTGGGCCTCCTTTACGACACATGACCTCATTAAGCCTAGAGCGGCCTATTAAGTAGGGTGAACGTTCGAACCTAGGTGAACCGGTCTCTCCACTTTGGACCACCGTTGCCATAAATGCTGAACGCTGATCATCACTTTCTTAAGAATGTCTAGGGGGTGTTGAATATTGCCGGGAATATGCATGTAGTCTGTGAGACCAATTTGTTTGCTGCAAAACATGGGTGCATGACCTTGAAGTTGGGTTGTACACTGTAAATGTCCTCTGTCATGGTGGCCAGCCCTAATTCTTTCCCTTCTTTTCTTCCCCTCGACGATCAAATAGTCTTAGTCAAGGACTTTATATATATATAAAATGGCGCGCAGAAAATCTAGCCAGTGGTTAACCTTTTGGTGGTTCTGTAAAATTTGTTGATCGCAAAATGCGAGAAATCTTGAAGTCACAATTACAACAAGAACAGCAACACTAATCCAGTAGTCATTCCCAAATTTTGTCTTAACTGATGACCGACTTTAGTTACATGACAGGATCACTTGTATTTGAACACGTTACTTTGGGCATCGATTGCTGGATTCCAACTATTTCCTCTCAAATTCTGGTTTTAATTAGTTTGCTGTGTGTGTTCCTTTGCCATTTGTTTATTGTGTATTGTGTACCAAAGAGATTGACCTGTACGCACGCTGTTGTTCTGAATAGGTAGACTACCCTTCAAATGCTGTTTGTAGTTGAAATATGTCAGACTGTTAATTGATATGAATCTTTCTTGCATGTTCTTGCCCAGATGGGCTAAATGCACAGATGTGACCAAATGTGGTCGAGAGGATAAAAAAACATGTCATTGAGTATTGCATACAGTAGTTAGGATCTGGGCGTACTCTTCTGGGTACAGCAGTAACCATCAACCAACGTGGATACCCCTGTAATTCATACTTTAGGGTCGGGGACAGGTCCATACATGTGATGGCTGTGTTTATATTTATCATATTATTTGCTAAAGTGAATTTTGGTCTGGAGTGTCGCAGGTAAAGTCGACACACACGCCACACCTGGCATTTTGCACACCAATGCACTTCGATTAAGAATGGTTAAGAAATTCCAGGAAGGGATATTTGTTGATACATATTAGATCAGTCTCCAACTGTCTTGAAAGAGAAAAAAATGGATTTGTTAAAGGAGAGTCTGGTGACGTAGTCATTTGGTGACATCAAGTTCACACCCAGAACGTTGAAGCTGAAGTCTTTTGTGTAGTAAGGCGGGACGCATACCTATGAGAGTAGCATTGACCCTTGGTGTCATGCCTAGTCTAAATGATGTGACAGAAGCGGTTTGGTAGCTTTTTGGGGAGCGTATCTACGAGTATGATCTATCAGAAGTCTTCTCTACCTGACAACACCGTGAGCTTGTTCTCTCTCCTTTTTAGCAAGGTAGGACATTTCTGTAGTCATTTATATATTATCTAACCCGAAAAATCATTTGAGAAATCTTTTCCCCAGATTTCACAACCATATAACATTATAGATTTGATGCAAACGTCGAAAATCCTTAGTAAAGCTTTTAATGAGATTTGAGAGCGGATAAGAGAGCAGAGCTCGGTAGACTGTCACTAGACACAGACGTATCTGTACGCCTAGTCAAGTATTGGTTAAGACTGAGGCAACTAGACGCTAATACACATCCCCTACAAGTCGACGCTTTACTACAAGTCGACGCTGTCCAAACTGAAGCCCATCCATGCGAACTGGGTCCTGGGTGCACTGGACAGTATCGCCAACAACGTGGACATCGCCAGGGGATGGGACCGCACAGAGATCTGAGCCGCTGTGAGCCGACGGGCGCGTGAGTAAAAACAAAAGCCGCCGCCATGTTTGAACTTTCGGCTCGCAAATGTTGCCAACTTCTGCACAGTAGTCCTCGCGTAAATCATCTTTAGTTGTGAAATTTTAGCGCACTGTTCTATAAATTTGCTGTTTGGTAACGTTTAAAACCATGTTGATTCAACAAGTTGTAAAAAAAAAATAAAAAAAAATCAAGCAAACTAGTAGTATCTCAAAAACATATGTTAATGCTTGGTCACAAGAAAAATGTGCTACACCATGTGAAAGAAATACTTGACCGCAGTGGTTTCTCATATATCTGGCATAACGACAACATCGATCTCGATAAGCAACACATATGTACATTACTTAGAAGTAGACTCTCTGACATGTATATCCAAACCTTTCTTTACAATCTCTCTGTTGATGTCGGTAAGCTAAGATTTTATAGACATCTGAAACCTGTATACACAATGGAACGTTATCTTCACATCAAAGACTTCGATGTTAGATCAGCCATATGTAAGCTTAGAGTTAGCGTTCATACATTAGAAATAGAAAAGGGTAGATACAAACAATTACTATAAGTACCTGTTAACGACAGAATATGTAAATATTGTACAGGAAACGCAGTGGAGGATGAAATGCACTTTATTTGTCATTGCCCTCATTATAGCACCGAAAGAGATCAGTTATTTGAAATGGTCACCAAAATGTTCCCCAGCTTTATTCACCTTCCCAGCCTACAAAAAACTGCATTTCTATTAACACCTCCCAATTTATATATCTCGCAAAACGTCGGCCATTTCATACTCCACTGCACACGGAAAAGAAATCAAACCCAACAATAACTACAAATGTATATATAAAGTAGCATTAGCATCACTTATTATCATTCTACTGTTTACTGTTGTTATCATGTTCTTGCAATCAGCCCTCGGGCATGAATTTGCAATAAACTTCATTATATACAGGGGACATTTAAAGAATATCTAGGTGGGTGTTAAACATTGCCGAGAATATGCATGTAGTCTGTGAGACCAATTTGTTTGCTGCAAAACATGGGCGCATGACCTTGAAGTTGGGTTGTACACTGTAAATGTCCTCTGTCATGGTGGCCAGCCCTAATTCTTTCCCTTCTTTTCTTCCCCTCGACGTTCAAATAGTCTTAGTCAAGGACTTTATATATATATAAAATGGCGCGCAGAAAATCTAGCCAGTGGTTAACCTTTTGGTGGTTCTGTAAAATTTGTTGATGCAAAATGCGAGAAATCTTGAAGTCACAATTACAACAAGAACAGCAACACTAATCCAGTAGTCATTCCCAAATTTTGTCTTAACTGATGACCGACTTTAGTTACATGACAGGATCACTTGTATTTGAACACGTTACTTTGGGCATCGATTGCTGGATTCCAACTATTTCCTCTCAAATTCTGGTTTTAATTAGTTTGCTCGTGTG